TGGGTATTTTAAAGACTAGTTATTTAACTCCCTAGAAATTCTGTCACAAGAGGAAGATTAAAGGTTCCACACACACTACTGGATATCCACTATGAGGATATCCAATAGGGTTTTCTCGGAATTTTTTCTCCAGCTTCTGAAGTCAAACATCTAAATAGGAAAGTAGTAATGATGGCCAGAAATTACCACCGTTTGGAGGCAAAACAGAGACTTGCTGAAAATCCTCACCAAACTATTTGGAATTTGCCAACACTAAGTGCTGCCTAGGAGAAAATAAAACCCCATGCATTTTAACTGGACATTCTTCACCTTCAGCCTATTACTTTAAGCAAACAGATAGCCTTCCTACCAATGTAAGTATGGAGCAATATGGACACTCGCCCTTCTGCAATCCTGCTGCTGTCAGCTCCTGTCAGAGGGACAGCCTGAAGCCATGGAAGAACCATGCAGATGGTCACAAACCAGGCCCCTGGCCCACTACTGACACAGCTCTTCCAGAAACACCACTGTGAAAAGCTAACACTGGGATGAGGCTCAGACCGCCTCCTCCATGACCCTCTCTAGGCAGGCTGGAGCAGTCTAGAGATGACAGTCCCTCCAATATCCATCCTTCTTCTGGGTACTTCTCCCTCTTCTCCCCATGCCACCACCTCTGGCTGATTTGAGCACTTGTTGCAACCTTTCTCAAATACATGTTGCACGTTCTCTGGGGCAACACCATGCCACATTTGTCCATCGTCTGAAAAATCTGCAGCACAGAGATCTTTGACTTGGGATACCAGCTGCCAGGGGCTATAAATAATCTATAATTAAAATAAAAGTGAAGCTGTACCACAGGATTGTTGTGCCTCCAAGTTTTCTCCAGACTATTCTCAGGAGACATAGAAGAGCTATCAGAGATAAAACACCAAATCTCAGCCTACTAGGTTTACACAGAGACCCACAAAAATATGTGTCTGTATTGTTCTGACCTCCAGATCTTTTTTTTCCTTCACATTTTCTTAACCTTTAAAAGGCACATAAGATAAACAGAGGAGAAGCTAGGCAGACAACATCCTCGGAAGAGATGTAGGAATATAATCAAGCCCTCAGACACACGCACACAAACACCATAATTTATCTCTTCCTCCTCCTGTTTGATATTATCCTCTGCTCTAGTATCATAATCTGTTGCTATGGGAACAGCTATGATGTCACTACAAGAGTTTTATGGATGCCTTGAACAGGAAGGAAAGGTACATGATGATGGGAGAGAAAAAAAACCGCACCTACAAACAGCTGCTAAGCAGGAGACGTTCCAGGAACAGCAAGTGTTAACAGGGAAAAGATAAATACATCAACAGTGCTGGAGTCCTTGCAGACAAAAGCAGAATATAAACCCTGCTTTAAAAATAAAGAATGCTTACAAATTTTGCCTACAAGTAAAAATATTCTGGGAAAGCTAAAGGACCTTCCTGAAAAAAACAAACTTTCTTTGAAACGTTCTGCAAGTTTTCTGAGACTGGATGTTCTCTGAGTCTTGCTGCTAGAGTCCAAGTCTCCATCAAACCACTCCATCATCTGCTGTAACATTCCCTTCAGAAGTCTAACACCCCACCAAGGCAGCTATTAGGTAGGGAGCTTGCTGGCTATCCACCATCCTGTATGCCTTTACGATCTGTAACTAGGAAAAAACCTCATGTCTTCAAGCAAAAATAAATAGAACCATAGAATCACTTAGGTTGAAAATGACCTCTAAGATCAATGAGTCCAACCACTAACCAAACACTGCCAAGCACACAACCAACCATGCCCCTAAGCACCACAACTATACATCTTTTAAACATGTCCATGGTGACTCCACCACTTCCCTAGGCACCCTGTTTCAGTGCTTGACAATACCTTCCATTAGGAAATTTTTCATAATATCCAATCTACACCTTTCCTGATGCAACCTGAGGCCATTTCCTTTTGTCCTATTGTTTGTTACCTGTGAAAAGAGGTCAACCTCCACCTCACTACAACCTCCTTTCAGGTAGTTACAGAGAGTGACGAGGTCTCTCCTGAGCCTCCTGTTCTCCAAGCTAAGCAACCTCAGCTCCCTCAGCTGCTCTTCATAAGACCTGTGCATTACATCCTTCAGCAGCTCCATCGCCCTTCTTTGGACACGCACTGGCATCTCAGTGTCTTTCTTGTAGTGCTCCTATGCCTTTAAGATTTGTTTCTTGGAGAATGTCCACCATTCCTGGACTCTTTTGCCCCTCAGGACCGTGTCCCAATGGACTCTGTTGACCAGCCTCCTAAACAGGCCAGTGTCTACCCTACAGAAGTCCAAGGCAGCCATTCTGCTGAGCCCCCTCCTTACTTCTCCAAAAACTGAAAACCAATCACTGTACCCAAAACAGCCTCCGACCACCACATCACCCACAAGTCCTTCTCTGTTCACATAAAACAGGTCCAGCAGGGCGCCTTCCTTTGCTGGCTCACTCACCAGCTGTGTCAGGAAGTTATCTTCCACACATTCCAGGAACCTCCTAGACTGTTTCCTCTCTGCTGTTTCCTCTCTGTGCAGAGACACACTGAATCTACTGGATCACATCCAGTAGCAAATAAACACCCTGACTCCAAACTATAAGAAAAAAGGAGCTTTTCTTGCTCTCTTCACCCAAGAGAAAAACCAAAATCTTACAGACTCACTGCCAAACATACTGACATACCCAACCTGCTACTAGAGAGAATAGTATGTTGAGCCTCATGCTTGAAACATGCCCAGCCTTTGGGCCATGCACATCTGTGTGCAGGATGATGCACATGTGGTTCTCACCCATAAGCACAGGTGTTGATGACTGTGCCTCCATGCTCATACCTGTTTTGGTCACCTGGACTGATGGTGAGAGTAGAGCAGACAGGACAATGGAGAGGGTGGGGCAGTCACACATGCCCTTAAAGGCATCATGTGCAGGCTAAGGGAAAATTCAGTATGCACCTCCTGATGGGGAGGAGGAGGGAGGATGGCAGATCAAATTCATCCGCCATAGACACCGCCGTCACGGGAAGGGCAATGGCGGCGAGGGAGGAAACCACAAGGATCTCAGATCAATGGAAAGTGCTGGTGTTTCAGATAACCTCTGTCCCATCAGAATTTCTTGAGTGTGGTGAGCAGGATCAGAGATCTTAAGGGAATGCCACAGCATCAGTTTTGCCTCTAGTCTCAGCTCCAGACGGGGGGAATTCCCAGGCAGACACTCTGTTTTGCCTGTATTAAGATAGAGGTGGCATTTCCTGTCCTTGCTCACTTTCCTGTCCAAAGACGTTAGAAACAACTGCAGACAAAAAACCTGGGAGAGACTGAAGTCAGTAAGGGCAGTTGCAAAAACAGTCCAAGATGGGATCTTCAGCATTTCACTCAATTTTCTGTTCCTGCCAGATTTGGCTGTGACAGCCCCAGCCCCCGTACTTCTCAGAGATCACTTTTCTCTCCTGTTACAGTCACTTACTCTCACCTTTCTTTCCCACCTCTCTCTCTCATCCTCTTCTCTCTTGTTCCTAACCTACTGCCTTACTCCACCTCAATCTTCAGCCCACCCTTCCCTTCCCTGAAGGAACCCCTGTCAGAAACGTTCAGGAAAACCCACACATTGTGATTTCCTCTCCCCAAAGAGCTCAGCCAATTCCTACGATCCATGCTCCCGGGTCTTCACTGCAGGAAATGCAAACCCTTTGAGGTGGGAACTATCTGCCCCTTCATGCCAATACCATGCCTTGTGCAGTAAGGTCCTGTTTTTGTTTGGCACTGGCACCACTACAGCAAATACAACTGTTATTAGGAATACTTCAAAAGCATGAGAGTAAAAGAATAGGAGGTGTAAAACAATGCAAAGTGTTTTGTGTGTTTTCCAGTTTCTTTTATATTTGTGGGCAAGGTTCTGTTTCTATTTTTTATGAAACAATCTCTTCTGTGTTTTCTATTTGAGGCAAGAGTGGAAAACAAAGCTGATCTTGGTGAAGAAACAGAGATTGTGCTTTTTAAATTGGCAGGTGACAGCAAGCAGGATTGCAAAATAAGAATTCAAAACAATCCTGACAAATTGAAGGGTACAGGATGAAATTCAAATGGGACAGATACGAAAATCATACACTTAGGTAGGAAAGCCTTGCTCCATACACAGAGAATAGAAAACGGCTCATGAGGCATCAGACCTCTTGGACAGGATCTCGTAGCCACGGCACATCACAAGCTGCACACAGATGAACAATGTCATGGTGCAAAAGTTAAACCAAACAGGAGCACTGCCTGTAGGAGATGGAAGGAATGCTTCTGCTCTACTTGGTCAGCACAGGATCCAACATACAGCACTGTGCTCTAGCAATGCCATTGAAAGGAGAGGTGGACTAGCTGAAGGGAGCACAGAGAAACGGGAGGATGGTCAGAGCTGAAGGGAACAGGACACAGGAGAAAGAGCTGAAGAATGTGTTTGAGATATGATTCAGCCGAAGGAACACAAAGTCAAGGACAGACATGACAAAGACAAAGGAATAGTTTTCCCACACCCACTGTTAAAAGGACAAGGAATCAGAGCAAGCAAAGCAGAGCAGTTAATGAGGAGGTAAAATCTTTTCAGTGACAAAGCAAAGGGCAGTGATGACAGCCTGGGTAGGCTGTGCACCCCATACATGGGAAATATGCTGGACAAGCCTGTTAGGGAACATGCTGGATGGGCATTTAATATCCTGCTTTGAAACACTTTTTGAAATCTTTCCTATGCCCACTTCCTACAGTTTCAATGATATTGGTGAGAGGTAAGTTTCTCTGGCATTTCAGCATAACCCACAGACCAAGATAAACCTGTCAGTCTTTAGAACAGAAAGAGATGTCAGCCTGCAGGGTACTGCTGTGTAACACCATTGTTCCAGTTCTTGCTAATACCTTAAAGGATTAAAAGTCATAATGAACGGGGAAGACAGCTGCCTTCAGAGTTTCCCAAGTATCTCTGGTAAATACCACTGCCTTGAGGACTGACCTTTCCCACTTTTCAGGGTAGGAGCTGTCTGTGACTGCTCTTACTTCATCCCTCCAGAGACAGATGTCAGCACAGGCCCTGGAAGGTGAGCAGGACAGAGAACACGTAAATAAAGTGAGCTTCAGCTTCTCCAACCAAACGCCCCATTGAGAGGTAATGCTGAAGAAAACCAAGGGAGCAAACTATGCCATCCTTCACCCAGCATGAAACTCCCTCTCCCTCCAGAACACAACACAGACAGGCTAATGCTGGCCATGGGGAGATGGTGCTTCTCCTTGTGTAGCTCCGCAGGTTTCAGTGACTGTGGCTGTTGCTGACCTATATCAGAATCGAGCCCAGGAGCAGCTCAAGGGGTTCACATCTTGAGATTGCTTGCCTCCCACTGGCTATTCTGTACACATCCTGTAAATAAGCAGAAGACTGTTCCTTGGCATCATTCTGTCAGCAGCTTGATCAGACAGCCACTCTTTATATAGCACCTTGAACATACACAACATTGTATAAACATGCACTATTACAGCTTATTGTTACTTCCATTCAATAAATAAATCCTAATGTTACAGCTTTTTAATTGTTTTAGTCCTGAATCTGGACTCTGGCAGGTATTTTGAAATATGGTGATGCCTTTGCCAGCCTACGGAGATAGGGGCTGCTCCTTCCCTCACGTACGTGGGCAGGTCTTAGAAGAACTGGTTTTACTATCAAAATTACCCAACTCAGAAGGCTACCTGAATTCAGGAGTGGTCCCAAAATACATGCACTTGTGCTTTCCTGAGGATGGACCTCAGTTGCTGATATGGCCAAGTGAGGGAGGACTCAGGTGTGCTCTGTGCTGTTAACAGGGGGGGAAGCATTAATATGCCTCTACTCTTCCTGCACGACAAACAGAAAAGTTGCTAAATGTCCTATCTGAACTGAAATTATCACCTGGGTTTATTTTTAAAACAAAAGCTGAACTCTGTACTGCAAGGGGGAATAGTTTTAAAAGAGAAGGCCTCCCGTTAAACACCTAGGTCTGTATTAGGGTATGTAAACAGCTGAAGAAACAACCTTTTCTCAAAATCGCGTTTAATTCTCACTTCTTGTTATCCACCAGTTATCCTTCTAAAAGCAAGAAAAAGCCCTCTCACATTTAGAGGGCAGAGATTTCCTAGTAAAGGTGAGGAAACAACCTCATTTTTATAAATGGACTGATTAAGCTATAGAGGTCATGAGTCAGAAAGGTACTTCAGCGTGTGGCCAGCTTTAAAGACATAAACAATCCTAATGAAGTCACCAGCACTGAATGTGAGCTTAAATTTAGGCACAGACCTTAAAATATCTTCTTAAATTGGGATCAGAGAGGAAAAGGGTGGAACTTTAAAAAAAAAAAAAACAAAAACAAAACAGTCTCAGCCTACCTACCCACTACAGACACAGGGATGGGGACATCATAATAGCTGTTAGCCCACCACTGAATGCCTTTGCAAACTCTCCTCACAAAGTCCAAAGGTAGCGCTATCACAGTTGCCTCAATTCCTACAGCTGAAAGAACTTGTCTAATCTGCCTCATACTGGTGTCTCAGCCTGGTCCAAGCAGAAGGTGACTGCACTTCCTCTTGACCTCGCCATCTGGCAGCACTGCTCTAACACCATCACCTGGGACCCACTTGCTGAGGTCCACAATCAGGACAGCGATTTACCTCCAAGCCTGGGTCACTAATCCTTCCATGATTTGACTTCCCAACTTTCTTCCTGACCAAATATCCACGTACTTTTACACACCATTGCTGTAATGTGGTCAAAATTGAGCCTTATTCATTTAGCCACCCAAGTACGCTATCTACCTATGGATATGCAGTCTAACTTCTCAAGACTGACCTAAGTTCAAAAGCCTCACAAGCATCAAGGAGGTCTCTGGGCTGTCCCTCATCAGTTGAAGACCTACACTGAACAGGGTGCGTGCACACCCAGTTTGGGTGAAACCGCATCCAGTGGTTTCAAAGCACCATGTGAAACTGGGCAGTAAATAACAACCACTGAGTAAATGGTGAAACTGAGTGATGGGAAAACAAAAATTACTTCATTTTCTAGGCCCGCTGACTTGTCCAGCTGAAGCCACCTGGGTTTTCCCCACCTGTTACAGCCATGAAGAGGAACACAATGCACAAAGTCCAAGGGCCGATGACTGTGGCGAGTAACTGTGTTTGCCTCTTTGTCTGCTCACCCTGGGCCCAGCAGTGCTCTTTCCCCTTCTGAAAATAAAACAGCATTTTTCACCCATTACATCTCAAACTCACTTAATCGCTAGACACAGCAGCACGATAAGAACAATAATTTTAACTGGAGGGGACTTCCTGTTATCCTAGCTATAGCCATATCCTGAGCAAATAAAAACTTAGGCTTTTGGTCCCAGCATTGACACAGCTTAAGTTCTGATTATTATTTCATAAACAGGAAGTGCCTTTGAGTTATAATCTCCCTGCATGAACTTTGGGGTAAAGACCTTTACTCCGCCTCACTGGGGCCACCTCCCTGATGAGCAAGTTTTGTGTGTAATGAGCAAGTTTTATGTGCCTTAAGAGATCTGAGGATGCATTCAAAACCCAGCAGGGCTGGCCTGTTCCTGGCATTAAATGGGACCTGCTCCACGACCAGTCCAGGGTCAGATTTTCAAGCTTTCCCAGCCCCTCGTGTGACAAGCAGAGCATGCAGGCAGGTCCCTGCCTGCGCTGAGCTCCAGCAGCGGCACCGGTGGTGAGGTGCAATTTACAAATATTACCAGATTAATTCCATAAGCCACCCACATAGACAACTACCGATGCGGCTGCTAAAAATACACCGTGAGTTGCAAAAAAGTTGTCAAGAATAAGTAAGGAGCAAAGCAAAGAGGAACAAAACCAAAACAGAGGTAATCACTGTTTAGAAAATAAAGATTAATGCATATAAATACCTCTCTTTACCCAATTCTGAAGGATGCCAGGTACCAGACACCCAGGAAATCACTGGAGACAACCAGAGGCACCTGCCCTAGGCAAAAATCTACCCACAGCTCAGGCACTGCTGATGTCTAGCAGATCCCCTCTTAAAATTGGGTCTCCCCAGTCCACAGAGCCTGGCTCTATTCTCTGCACAGTAGAAAATGTCACAGGTGAGGACACAGGCGATGATTTTGCACAGCAAGGGCAACAATGCCCAGAGGAGGGTCCAGAGAACCAGATTCTCGCCTGCCTAAACCATTCATCTCCTCTGAAGCCAATACAGCTGCTCCTGACAAAGCTGCATCTCTGGTGCTCAGTGGGATGGCAGGCACTAGTTTGCCCCAACTCTGGAGCAGAGGCATGCAGGATTACACCTAATGAGGTCCACTTCGAATCCCAACACATTTCCTCGTATGGCTCAGAAACAAAACCAAAAAACAGGTCAAAGATTGTTCGGTGGTGTTACTTCTGTTTTGTTCTACTTGTTATGTTTTTTATGTCCTTCATTTTACTGCTCAGCTCTGCAGCACCCAGAAAAAAAGAAAAAGAAAAAAAAAAGATGAGAAAAACCCAGGAGAGGAGAAGTCAACAGCAAAACCTCCAAATTCTTTAAAACCAATGGGAAAATTCTGCTTGCAGTGTGTGTGGGAGAGGATTTCACACCAGATATTCACTTATTTATCATGCCTCGCCTATTAATATGAGGTGAGGCACCATTCTGCTTCCCAGAACTGGTATTTAAACCAGATTCTCAGAACAAGCACGGACCACCCTCACCTGCACATCAAGAATGGTGGGTGACTTTGTGCATGTGCTCTATGTTATCACTCACTTAAATTTCTACTGGAACCATTTCATAAGGCCTTAGAAGGTGTCACATTTCCTCCCAGGGTGCCTTTTCTGTCAAAGAGCCTATGTTCTGAAATCGGTACGGCAGGGATACGGTTTCACCTACCCTCGCCTGCCTTGCGGTGGTGGCGGTGGGCGTGCACGTGTGCCACCGAAACTGCTCGGTCAAGGGCAGGAGCCGAGAAGCAACGCAGTGCTGATCCAACCCCTCGACTCCCGTGCTCTCCACAGTGGCCTGACCGTACCTGATGCTCCAGAGGTGGGCTACAAACCAGTCTGCTTATGCACAAACCGTGAGACTCGCAAGGGAGGATGGCAGTCCTCGCCTCCTTCCAAGGAGGAAATTGCATCCCCTGCGATAAGTTTTTATCTATGCACTGCAATATTGCAGGGAATTCTAAGGACCTCTCATGGCAACTAGGAGGCGAAAAACAATCATTAACCCCTCCTCCACCTCCCTCGAAGCCATTCAGCAGCAATTTAACCCGCAAAAATACTGCATTACAATACAGATAAAACAATCTCTATCAGCCTTTACGCTATCTACCGGCTCCTGCCATTTGGGATATTCACGTATTTCCAGGCTTAAGGCTGCAGAGCCTGGCTGCGGACCCTCCCGTATCGGCTGCGGGGAATTTGTTTTTACAGGTCACTTTCATGGCATTTTTCCCCATCTGCTCCCTTTTCCCAGTCAGGCAGAAGCAGGGGCGCCGCCGAAGTTAGGATGCTCTAAGGCACCGCTAAACTTCCACCGCACGCTCCGGTGCGACACCGGTGCGGCCTCGGGAGGAAGCCGGCGCCCTACCCGCCCCGGCAGCGGCTCCCTTCTCCTCTGCCTCCCCTCCCCTCCGCTGCCCTGCCCGGCTCCGGGGAGGCGGCCGTGCAGGCTCTCGCCCGCTGCGCTGCGCCGGGAAGGGGGGAGCGTGGCCAGGTTGACCGCAGGCCCCGCGCCTCCCGCCGCCCCCGGCCGCTGCGGACCCGCCGCGGGGCACCGCACTGCCCCGCACCGCCCGCCGGATGCGGCCCGGCGAGCAGCGAACTTCAGAGCGCTCGCCGCATTACCCACCCGGCCGGCGGCGCCCGCCCGGGAGGGGCTGGGCGGGCTCCGCGGCGGCCGGTGCGGTGCCGGGCAGGCCTTGCCGGCCCGGGGCCGCACCGGGGGCGGGGGGGGGTCAGGCCCGGCCCTGCGGGGCCGCCGGGCGGGGGCTGGGCAGGTACGCGGCGGGGGCCGGGGGACATCGGCGGCGGGCGAGTTCCCCCCGCCCGCGGCGGGGCCCCGCTGCCGGGGGAGGCGCCGGGGGCGGCCCGGGGAGGGGAGGGGAGCGCAGGGTAGGGGGGGCTGCCCGGGCCGGGGCCGCCCGGCGGCGCGGCGCGGCCGCCAGAGGGCGCCGCCGACGGGCCGGCCCCGACCGGCACCCCGGGCCCGCCGCGGCCCCTCCGCCGGCACCGGCCTGGCCCCGCCGCGGCCCCCCCGCTCCCCCGCTGGCCCCGCGCTCCGCCGGCCTCATGCCCCGCAGCGGCGAGCCTGGGCAGGGCCGGCTGCCCTGCCTGCGCTGCCGAAAACGCTCCCCTTTGTCTGGCCGCCTCCGGCGGGGTCCGAACTCCGCGGCGCGGGTGAGCTCGGGGCTGCCCAGAAATAACCCGGTGGGCCGCCGGTAACTTTACACCGCCCGCCGAGCGCCCTCCGAGCGGGCGCCGCAGCCCGAGGCTCGATTTCCTCCTCAGATAAGTTTTACCGGCCTCGCCACGGGGACGAAAGTACTGTGTCCCCGTGCCGCCCCCCCCGCCCGCTCCCCTCCGCGCCCGGCTCTCTGCCGCCACGGAGAGCGGTCCCGGGCGGGATGGAGCGGCCGCCGGAGGATGTCCCTCCGGTTTATGTAACGCTCCCCGGGCAGCACCGAGCCGGGAGGGGTGACGGGGGAGGATAAATGCGTCGCGATGGGATTTAAATTAAACCCCGATACATCTTTGAATTTTTCTTTTTAAACAGACACCCTGGACTACGCACCGGTCTAACACACACACCCATATACATATATACATATGTGTATATATATGTAATTTTTTTTTTTTTTTAACACGGAAAAAACTAAGTTGGGGCACTTGGGCTTCTCTCCGCAGCCCGGGCTGGGCTGAAGGAGAAGCCAGGGCAGCTGACAGGCGGCTGCCGGCAGCCCCGTCTCCCGCCGCCGCTGCCCGCGGGGTCCCCGCGCCCCGGAGAAGCGGAGCCCCGGCGTGGGGAACTCCTGGGAAACCGGCGAACGGAGCGGGGTGGCCGGTCCTGGAAATGCGAACTGCGGCGAGGGGCAGGCAGGCAGCAGGCACACACACACGCACACACACACGGAGGCGCAGGGCAAGCTCTGTCCACCTCATTGTTCTGCTCGGCACCGGCACGGACTTCACCCACCGCCCCCCGCCGGGAACCGAGCGCCCGGGACCGCGGGGCCGGGGGCGGGCAGAGCCGGAGGGCGACCCGCGCCTCGCCCTGCTCCCGCCGGGCGCCGGGAAGGGCGGGGGTGCCCCGCCGCCTCCCCGCGACATCGCCGGGGCCGCGGGGAACCGCGGGCGGGCGGCCGGGGACCCCCTGCTTCCCCCCCCCCCTCCCCCGCCGCCACCGGGCGAGGGGTGCCGGCGGGGCGCGCCGGGCCGGGGCTTACCTTCGTACATGGGGGCCATCGGTGCAAGGACGCCTGTTATTCATGGCAACGCCGCCACGAACGACGCGAGATCGCAGCCCCCCAAACTCAACACACATCTGCCATCTTGAGCGGGTGTCTCTCGGCGGAGGCGAAGCTGCCGCCTGCCTTCTGCATCGCTGCCCACCTCAGCGCGGGGGGAGCCGGGCACATCCAGCCCCGCTGCCGGCCCTCCGACGCGGCCGGGGCGGGCGGGCGAGCGGGCGGGGGGCGGCGGCGCCGGGCCGGGCCGGGCCGGGCCGGGGCCGGGGCGAGGCGAGGCGCGGGGCCGGGCAGGGGCGGCGGGCGGCGGGGCCCCCCCGGCTCGGGACGGCGGCGCTGGGGAGGGAGGGAGGGAGAGAGGGAGGGAGGGAAGGAGAGAGGGAGGGAGGAAAGGAGAGGGAGGGAGGGAAGGAGGGGGGCTGGCGCGGTGCCCCCGCTCTCAGCGCGGCATGGCTGCGTGTGCCGGGGCGCCTGCAAAAGTTGCACTGGGGGTGAGAGAAAGGGAGAGAGAGACGGAGGGAGAGAGAGGGAGACGGAGACCGAGACGGAGAGGAGGAAAAAAAAAAAGGAGAAAAAAAAAAAAGCAGCGAAGGGAGTTTGCAAATAATCAAGCGCCGATGGCACCGATCGCGGCTTCCCAGAAGGAGCGGGAGCGAGCGAGAGAAACCCTCTGCTGAGATTATGTGGGATCTTGTTTAACAACACATTTCAATCAGGAGAAAAAAGGAACAGTCAACAGAAGTTGGTGAAACTCTTCTGTCTTTCCCCCCCCTCCTCTTTATAGAAAAGAGAGGAAGGGGAAAAAAAATAAAAAGGCAGCTGATTGAAGCTTTGCAACTGACTGGCTGTGGGGATCATATAATTTGAGCTCATGTTTTACAATAGCATGGAAAATTCCTACCTCTCCCCCTCTCCCCAAATAAATCTTCTATTCCCTCAAGGCATTTCACAATCTGGTTCACTGACAAAAGTTCCAATTTATCTTTTTTTTTTTCGTTTAGCTTACTTGCAGTGTAAATATTTAGCGGATGCATTTAAAATAAACATACGTTGTTGCTTTTAGGATTCAGGGGGGTTTTTTGGTTTTTTTTTTGTTTTTGTTTTTGTTTTTGTTTTAAAAAGGAACCACATCAAAGAAGTGTTTACTAAGTAAGATTGACAGCCTATTCTCTCCCTCCCCTCCCCCCCCAGCTTTTTTTTTTTTATTTTAAATGATCCATCTCTCCGGTTGAGCTCGTGCTGTAGGATCACCAACCCGACCAACATCATTTTTGTCAGTGCATACAGGAAAGCAGTAGGTGAAGCTGCAGGAGCCCCCATTGCCTGACAGGAGCTTTACAAAGGAAGGTCAGTCATCAGGTACCCATTACGAGGGCAAAGGAAGCTGAGACTCATGCAAAGCCTCTGGCAAAGGTGGAAACAAAACCTCGGGCTGTGATCCTGCATTAACTGCCGTCTGGATCTGTCTGCCTGGAGCTCCTTGCAGATGAGTAGTCTGGGACTGGACCAGTGAAGACATACTCTCTCTGTGCCTGCAGTTACTGCTGGTCCCCAAAAACGCTGCCTCTTGCTGCTGCTGGTGCCAACTCAGACCTCTCCCACCGCAGTATTTGATCGCAGCAGGGCTCAACACCCGGCTACTCCCATTGATGTCTCAAGGAGGAGGCAAGAGGTAACTTTTACTTGTGGATTTCAGTGAGAGCCAAGTGCTCCTGCCAGCCTGGCCCCTCATCTCGGGGTGCTGCGGGTGCCTATGCTGGCAGATAAAAGCAGGCCAGGGAGCAATGCATGGTGACCCAGCCGATGGAGCAGGATGGCCATGCTGCGCTGTGGAGGATGTGATTCCCAGGCTCCCGTGGGCCCTCTTGTTAGCAAGGTATTTTCAGTGTTTTGCATGATTTTTCTCCCTCCACTGAAAAATGCCTGAAACTACAGGAGAGCTGTCTCATGGCCCATTAGCATTCTGTTTACTGCATGAAGCTGAGGATACGTGTTAAATGTGTCGAGGAGTACCATGCAGCACTGGTGGAGGTGATTGAGGGCTCCAAGTAGGCTGGGATGGCACTGGAAGACTATGTACAGCAGAGGGAGCAAAACCTGCTCCTGTCTCATCCCTGCTTCATTGAGAGTGATCCAGAGACCAGCCACGGTCAAATCTTGGAAAGAAATGGTGCTGTCTCCAGCTGGACCACGGGGGAAGTCCAGGCCAGAGGTGGAGGGCAAGCGTGCGGATGGACATGGGCACAGTACTTGAACTTGCTTCTCGCCCCTCTTTTATTTAGCCATGGTAACCCTCAGGGTTCAGCTCTAGCCATGAGTAGAAAATCTAATATTTTCTTGAAACATGTTTCTGGTCATTGTAATTCTGTGCCGCTCTCTTCTTTATGATGGAGAACATGATCTGCTTTCCAAGGCTACTAACGCTTCTGAGCCCAGCCTGCCTCCTTGCCCTTGATCAGAGCAGCAGCCATGGAGCCCTGTCTCAGAGCCACAGAGGAGAAGTGTCGGAGAAAAGCAGAGAACAAAACCAGAGGAGCAGGCTGCTATAGGAGCCAGCTTCACTTCTTGCCATTGCGTTGTGCTGCAGCATGGCTCCAGGTTAGTCACATCATCCTTACTCTCCTCGGCTGCAGAATGGGGGCAGGGGTACCAGCCTCTGCTGCGTGAAACTGCACTGATAGGTTTTTTTCCCTCTGTTTCTGAGTTATCCCATAGCCCTTAGGGTCTGCATTAACTCCATGTCCATCAAAGCTGGCATGGCATAGGAACTTAAAACATAAACCAAACCCACTCCTCACCCCTTTTGCCAGAAGAAAAGAGGAAGGGGTCGACAAAGGAGTCTGCAGAACTCACTGTGTGTGGCCTGGACATGAAAGTGGCGTCCCTGGCCCTGTGGCTGGTGGGTAGAGCACAAAGGGGGATGCAGGAGCAGCCAAACCTGCGTGTAACATAGGCAAATGCTAAAGCTGTTCGCTTCAAAGCACAGGTTATTCTGCTTCTTTTAGGGGAAGGGTGATGAACTTAATGGACTACTTGGCTGGTCTAGGACGACAATTCCTGATTGCCTCTCAGGTTCAGTATTGCCAAGGACATTACAGATTCTCATCTGCTGATAATGGATCCAAAGATAGGAAAACTAATAGGGATATTTTCACCAACAAGGACTGTTCTGATCTTACACGTTTTTAAATGTTGTTGCCAAATGAGGCCACAGCATATTTGGTAAACAAAAACCAGCCCCAACAGGTCCTGACCTCAGCCCAGAATGGCTGTGAAAAACCTGGTGTGCAGAGGAAGCTGGCGGTTTGTGGGCACGCAGAGGGAGCAAGGATTTGCCCTGCTAGGCACAGCCTTCCTTCCCAGCTCACACAGGGGCCTCTGCCTGAGAGTCTCCTTCAAAGAAGACTTAGGGCGTATGATTGGATCCAAGGTGCACAATCCCTTGCTGCGCTTCCCCATTTCTGTGCACAGATGGGGATGCACTCTGGAGGCAGCCCAACTCTGAGCCTACAACCTTCTTTCCATTCTCTCCAAAACTGAGCATCCATGCAAGGATGTTACACCTTAGGCCCCTGAGCTAGAGACAAAACCGTGGTGTGGACATACCTGTCAGGAGCCAGTCATTGGCAGCGCAGCTGCAACAGTCCCGGGACAAGGCCGTTCTGCTGGAGAGATCATGGTCCACTCCCTGCAGGCCTGAGACTGCAAGAGGTGTCACTAAAATTTTGAATCCTGAGAGACTTTCCCACTTCAACAGACTACTTCTTCTCTTTGGCCTCTTCACTCGGGAGAGGATGGCAAACCAGCACTGGAGAAGCATATATTAATGTCTCATCTTAAGATTTTTCATTTCTCCATTTGCATATTTGGGTCTCCTATAAACAGAGCCGCAGTCTGAGTGCAACTACATGGCACGCTCAGCCGTATCACGGAGTATCATGTACCACCAAAGTCGCAGCATCCCCACCTATGTCCACAATGGCTATGGGGTGGTGATGGCAGATACTAAGCCAGGGAAAGGAGAGGTGGCCTTTTAACAGCACTGGGCGGGCACTCAAGGGGGCTCCATTTCTGCTCCCCATACACAAATCTTGGTGGTCTTAGCATGTAACTCACTTCTCCAGAAAGGCATATGGTGTTTGAGTGGTGTCTCAGGGGACTGCTGGTAACAACCTCAGCCTATACTTAACTGCAGTGGGAGTAGAAGGGGTTACTGTTTTTTGCTGGAAATGTGAGAGTTTGGGCTTCTCTTTCTTTTCTCTTAGAAATTAATACAGATTTTGGAAGTCAAGATATAAGAAGGAAGGCAGGTGAGTTTTACAACATTCATTGCCAGTTTAGGGGGGTTGTGTGAATGGACACAAGGTGTCCTTTGGTCTCTCAGAGCCAGAAACACCATGGTGGCATCACCTCCTCTTCTCTGGTACCTCCACCAAGCCCTGGCTTTGCCAAGAGCATGCCAGGGGCATTTGCAGAGGTGCCTGCTGCTGAGATGCAATGTCTTCCTCTTTCCCTCAAAGAAAGCTGAGGGGGTTTGTGGCTCCAGCTTTCTTGGTTAATCATCCACTGCATTTGTTTCTTTGGAAAGATTGAGCCCAAGAATGTGTTAATAAAAGACTGTAAGGTACATTAAGAAAACAATAACAACATAACAAACCAAAAAAACCCAAAAAAAACAGGAGAGAAAGGCTGTAATCACACAAGGTGAGCACATCCCCTTCAGTGACAACCTTTTATACCTGTTTGCCTTCACGGTGGAGCTGGAAGGCAGCATGTTGTTAGTAAGGATCGGGTCCCAAATATTTCACGTTAAACAAAGGAAAATATTTTCTTAAAACACCAGGGGAAGGTTTCCCAGTGAAATACACACAGATGTTTTCTTTTTAAATGTAAATCAGTGAGGGAATGGACAGTTTAATTAAAAGTAAAATTATTAGGTAAGTGCTCAGGGAATCTACTTTATTTGCTGAGTACACTCACATATTTTTACTGGTGAGTCAATTGCAATTTTTAATTTCTTTCCACTTAAGAAGACCAGCTCAGAGACTAGCCACTGTGATGTGGAATATTTGGGGGAGGATTTTTCCGTGGATAGCAGGAGTGTCTGTCCTGTGTACAAGTTGTGGATGCCCAGGCAGTTTGCTATGGTATGTCCATTCCCAGCCTTACATCACTGCTAATCACAGTATCTCAGAATATTCTGAGTTGGAAGTGACCCACAAGGATCATCGTTAGCAAACACTCATTATAGGCTGCCTCTGCAGAGATTTTCTCTCACCTGGAGAAAATCCTGTCCCTTGTGACAGGGATTTTGGGTCCTACCAACTCAAACACTTGTGGTAATGGCTGTCTGGGATGCTAAGGGAAAGGGACTATAGTTTTAACTGACTTTACACCCTGTTGCTGCTCTGTTGCTAGACTCTTCTCCCTTCAGTATGACCCATCCCTTCACACACAAGCCTTTTTGCAGGCAGGTGTTTTGTGGAAGCCCCTTCCCTCAAGCCCATGCGTCCCTCTTCAGCATGGCAAATGATACAGACAGACTCCTGAGCACATCAGAAAACAGTCAGCGAAAATACGCTGCATACTTGAGTGGGGTTGAGGACTGATGGCTCAGTCATAGCTTAAGTTCAAAATAAGATCACAAAAACCTCCAACAAAATTATCCTGTGCACCATCGAGTTGGACTCTATAAGAACTCAGATATTTTTACTCAGTCTGAACATCAGTGGCGTCCTCAGTGCAGTTCATGTGATGTAAATGCCTCTTTCAGGGGGTAACAAATGGATTTACGATGCAGACATACAGGGGGATAAGACTTAATTCGCGCTATGAAACCAGATGATGCTGATAAAGCCTCAGTGGCTTCAGCAGATGTACCCCGACATAGTCAGGAGTGTGGCAATGGACAGATGTTGTGAAACGCTTCAGGTACCACGGATGGCAGAAAGGTGCGATGAAAGCGCACAGCCTGATTAGTGCCCCGGGGAAGGCAGAGATCTGGGTCACCTCATCCAGGCCTACCACCACAGATGATCACATTTCTGAACTTTCTTCCCCATTAGGAGTATCACTGAAATAAATGCCCTAAAAATGATGTGGCCTCTCTGTTTGAGGGGTTAAACACAGTTTCCCATCGTCGAGCTTTTGCAGTTGGCTCAGGTATTGTCGCAGGGTCTTGGATCCTTTTCTTATTATTATTAATAAAAGAAACTTTTAAATATATTAAGAAAAAGTGCTTATCAGATAATGAAATTCTAGCTGTGGTTGTCTTTCAAACAACCAGGGCCATGATTTAATTGGAAGTAATTATAGTCTTTTCTGAAGTATAATTTTTAGGGTATTTTTTCCCCTGACATTTGCAGTGTGGAAATTAAAAATAAAACGATGTCAGAATCACAAGATTTCAATCTGTCTTCAAACAATAATGTGGGCTAGTGTCAGAGGTTTGTCCTTGGCTGGAAGGAGGAAAAACTCACCGAAAAAAATCCTTATGGTGAAAATCGCCAGTAGCACCCACTTGTGCATTTTCTGTGCTCAGAAATTCCTGGGAGACTCCTGCTTACCAGAGCTCACTAGAAAGCCTTCTAACTCTGGTGCAGTGGGAAAGGGCACAACAGCACCTAGCTCCTTAGAGCGTCACATTTGTGATGCAGGCTTTGTTAATTATTCCACCAGTAAAGGCTGTATTAAGAGACACAATTAGAGCAAGGAAAAAACTTTTCCCATTCTATACAACAAAGATTAAATGTAGTCCTTATATCCTGCTAAAAACAATCCAGGGTGTAACAAAGATATTTCCATGCTTCTTTTCCCCCCAGTACTTTTTCCAATTTTTAAAGAGGAAATTTTTCAAATTATCTCTTTCTAAATTTTGCCCTGTTTTCACTTTACAATTCCTCAGCTTCCTTTGGTGAAACTACCAGTGCATCCTCTAAACTCCAACTCACACACTCTACCTTACTTAAAGTGCTATTTCCAAGGGAAGGACAATCTCCAGCATCAACTCAACTTTTTTGGTGGCCATTGGCCTCAGCAGGGTCCTGTGGGCAGACCCTCGATTCCTATCAGCCTGTGTGGCTCTACTGGTACTGGACGCTATGATGCCCCTGAACACATATGCATCTCTAAATACAGCCACTCAGAAGGAAAGTTTGGCCCAGACTTTTAAATCACATTCTTCAGACTCCAAATAATTTCTGTATGGATGCAGACATGCACATGAGGAATTATCTTGCACTCTGAACTCTCTGCTTCTCTGCTTATTATATATTTTATATATAATGCCCATTTTAAATCTGTTCCTGAACACCAGTCAAAGGGAAAGGAGGAAACTATTTCAGATTAAAAGGGCAATATGTATGAAAAGAAAAAGCTACATATGAGGCAGATTGTGATTCTACAGCACTGTATAAAGTGCTGTAGAGGAATGTATGAGGGATGGAGAACTGAGGTTCTGCAAAATGTGTTGACTTTTTGAAGAGGCATCAACTATCATTATAGACTCTATGGAGTTATTAACCAGATGATTTACAAGCCAAATTCCTACTGGGCAATACCTGCCTGGTCCACTTACATATCCTGCCTCACCACTCAGCTTTATTTATCCCATTCTCCACTCTCCACCTTAAAAAATCCCATTGCGTGGCATTACCAGCAAAGAACAGCTGTGTTTTGTCTCAGACATGGCTTCAGCAACAAAGTAAGAGATTTCCATCTATTCTTCAGCCTCTGAAACAACCTTTTCAAATGAAGGTATTTTATTAAATGGGGGAAAAAATTATACAGACTGAGGTAAAATTTTGGTCAGGCCTTATAAAACAAACTCAGTGACTTTAAAGTAATAAAACTTTCTGTGGCACTTAGCCTAAGCTGATCTTCTATACTATACTTCAGGGATAAGTGCAGATGTGCTGACAGAAACCTCGTGGCTTCCAAGCCATGCGCTGTGTAGAGCTTTGAGGGATTTTCTGGAAAGCAACTACTTTTCCCAAGTTAAACATTTTTATCTCCCCTCCCAAAATGTCCAGCAGACCAGCAGCGTTTCAAAGACAAGCACACGTGTTTACTTCCATGACTTTCATGCTGTCAACAGAAAATATTTGAAATTGCAGGCAAAGTTTCCGAGAAAGCAGAGATGAAGATTTTCTTTGCTTAGATTAAATTTCCAAGTGCCTTCCAGCACCACTCCTGCCTTTGCACCACTCCTTCGCTCAGCTGGGAGCCTGGAGATCTGAGCCCATGATTTGACCATAGATCTGTTCAGGGGCTTGGTGTGTTTAGGCACTGTGGGCCAAGGAGCATATTTGGTACATGCAGTGCCTGCCACAACACAGCACTGAGCTTGGCGGGATGGGAAACCCTTCTAGTATTTACACTTATTTGACTACTTAATGGACATTATCTCCTTCTCCAGCCCAGATCTCTACAAGAGCCAAACCTGACCATGATGTCCATCACTGTTAATGCTGTACCAATAGTAATAGCTAAGCTATTGGTGGTGGGTTCACACAAGAGCATTGTTCCTTGTTGGTTAGCCGCAGCCTGTGACTGTGGCTTTAACAATTGTGATGATCAGGTCTTGTCTTCGGACCCTGCTGCCCACCCACTTCTGTGCTGAGAGAGCTGAATAAATATTTACTACTTCTCAAAATAACACCCAGACACACTCACCCTTACCACTGCAGAGTAGTTCATCTAATTGAAATAAGAACATAAGTAAACTGTTTGTCAAGGCGGTTTATTAGGAAAAGATTGCTGTGTCAGGAGCTCCCTCACTGCGAGAGATGCTGTGTTGTCTCTCTTAATATTTAATGCCATTTTAATAATATTTCCTAGTTAGGGGGGCAGGCTGATGCTACAGACTAAAGGCCAAGCCTGCCAAAGTGGGGAGGAATAAAAGCTGGAGGTCAGGTTCACTCCATTGACTTCCCCACCTGGAGGCTAGGCAAAGAGCAATGTTGCTCTCCTCAGCCACGCCCAGGTCCTTCTCTCAGCAACTTTATTTCAGATTTGTTGATATTGCCTTTCCTTACTCAGAATGACACTTCAAAAGGTTAGGGCCACATCCTGAGGTGGTGGAGATGAGAAACCCACATTTTTCCTTTGAAAAACCTATTTCTCCTTGCAATGCTGCTCCAGTTGGGCTCGTTAATCAAACAGGACCATAAACTACTGAATTTATCCCAAGCTTGTGATTGCATCTGCAGCTACAGCACTCCTGCCTGTCTTTGGCAAGTCTTGTTTTGGAAACCTTTGGGTTAAACTCAGAGGTGTTTTATCTCAAAGAATGGGGAACTGCAGCTTAAGCATAAAAGGTCCTCACTAGTAGAACTTCCAACAATGCTGCCTCTGCCTTCCAGCCCACACAGACCTGCCCTTGGCTGCAAAGCTGCTGCACAAGGGGGTACCCCAGTCTCTACATCATTCCTCCAGAGTTCTGGCAGCAATGCCCAGCTCAGGCTCTTCCTTGTTGTGAAAGACTCCTGGCTGAAGGACCGTGGAGTCAGAGCCTCTGAAGCTGCTGCATAATAAGCCGTATTCTTTTTCTAAACATCACTAGACAGTTCAATAATAATTACATGAACTTTGTAATCAGCCAAACCAGCGTAGGCATCTACTGACCTACACGTAGCATTTGTGAGTAATTTTACATAAAGGGCAGGTACTTTTGTACTTAGTGCACAGGACTTGTGCACAAACAGCTACAGAAGGAGGGCCAATTATAAATAAACCATCCTTAGTTGTCACTTTGCTGTCTCTGACTTCCCACGCATTCAAATGGTGAGACTGATTCATTTAATCTTACTCTAAAGCAGCAAGCCACAGAGGCAGTTTCCCGACAGTTGCTTAAAAAAGTGTAGCTCAGCTCTCTTAAATTGTCTTCCCTTGTATTATATTTAGACATTGTGATTAGAGTATCTGTCACGATATGCTTTAACTTTGAGGCAGAAGTTCGAGCTGCTTTCTGAAAGCAAACGGAGATGCTCCCAGGAACCAAAAGGGCATGAGCGCCGGGTTTCAGCGTTTAGGAGCAGAGATGTTCAGTGCTGCTTGCACTGCCGGCTCCCCCGGCACAGCCAGCCTTATGAAACCTGAGTTTTCAAATAAGTGCAACATTATTTACCGCAATGAGACTTCTGGGAAGGGTGGAGGCAGTGAAAGACTTAGCGGCTGTTTCCAAGCGTTTTAGCAATATCAGCTGAGAAATTTTTATGATCTTCCCTTCTCTCCTCCTTTCCTCTTCTCCCCCCCAAACCTGGCTATTCTTGTCAAAGACTTGGATGCAAAATCTGGACAATCCTGTCATATGAACATGGCTTTTACACATTTGTGTCACTGCAAAGCAGATTATAATGACTACACTTCATTAATTTTATTCTAATTAAGTCAGTAGAGGTTTCAGCATAGATACAAACTTGATGTGCAGCTCTGCCCTTGACAATTGTATGCCAAAGAGAATACCTGAAAGCTCTTGTTTTGCTAAATATGCTATTTAATATTTTCTAATGCTTGGGTAAAACAGTCAGTGAATGTGGAGCCTTCCACATTGCTATATTATTACGGAGGAGGTTACTAGAGTTACACTGAAGGAGGTTTCCTTGTTCTGTGACTTGCTTTGCCAGAGCACTTATCAGATACTGAACTGTGGGTTCACCTGCTGACCACTATCTGTGATGAGAAGACCCCCAGATTCTATCAGACTCTCAGCCACTGCTCTGGCTGCAAGAGCTCTACAGCAGCCTAGCAAATATGACCAAAATCTGGCAGACAGGACAAGGTGAAAGACCCTCTGGACCCTAAGGTACATGGGGAGACAGGGAGGGTTCTGTGTAGAGGGGGAATGGTAGGGAGCAGATGCCATACCGCTGTTGCCTGTTGTTAACCTGGAATAAATGCTGCTGTGGAATTCAACACACTGAATTAAAAGGTGAGTTTCTCCCATGTGCCATGTATAGGATGCCTGTCTCCTCTAGCTGATCTACAGAGAACTGTAAATCTTTTATTGCTTCCACATACCCTCATAGAAACTTGTGCTTTTAATTTAATGTGTAGAAAACTTGAAGTCCTACATCCAGATCTTAATGTTCATCCAAATATGATTGGATTACCATTCTTTTAAGATCTGCTATATTCCTCTTCTTTCAGATAAAAATGTCGTGCTAGAAGTTTTCCATCATCCCTGTGTCTCTAGAGAGAATCTTGGAGACTTGAAGGTGACTTTTCTGTGAAATGGTCTCAATATAATTCCAAAAATACTTCATAATTTGGAGTCTGCTCCTCAACCTCCAGCAGAGATCAAAGAGATCCCAGAAAAAAATTAAGCAACATCCATTCCTAGGAGCTGAGCCTTTGGCTATAATGAATCAATCAACTACCCTTTTATCAGCCAGATATATATTGACTTGGGGCATTTTGGAGCCAAAGGCTAGTGTAATGCTGCTGGTTTAGGCTTTGTTTCCATCAAAATATTGAGTCCAAGGAAAGATCTTTGTTTTCAGTGTTTTTTACATCTTCTTGTTATTTTCACCTTCAAGCTTGCTTGGCCAGTTGGGTATGAAAAGCTTGTTTTTGCTTCCTAGTGGCAAGATCATCTGTTGATGGTATGTATGAGGTGCTAATTACTATCTGTCATTGGTATTTATGAGGTTCAAATTGCTACAGGAACTAAGTGCCATGTACAATATTGAGATAAGCATAAATGTTATTGAGTGTGGATTCTGCTCTTCCCACCCTAGTGCTTGGGCCCTTTGACTTGAACACCTTGTCCTCTCCCTCACACTCCTTTTCATACTTGCGAGGCATCTGAAAAAAAGTGAGTTATGTGCTTTGCTGTGAAGCGACCCTGGCTTGTGAGTGAGTGAGCTTGAGAGTGGCCCATGGCTCCATCTCGGAGCATATCATGCTTCTGTCCCTCATGCCGGCAGGTGACCCAAGGCACTGGCACTGTGACCAGCAGCACTGGGAGCAGAGCCCACAGAGCCTGGGTCTGCTTTGCCTGGAGCCTGCACGCCAGCTGTTGTTGAATTGCTTTCCAGAGGATATTTTCTAAAATCCAGCAAACTGTGGCAACTGGGAGAGCTGAAATCAATTGAGGTGCTGCTTCCCAGCCTGTGCACAGTCACAGAAGGTGTACCAGTCAGAGAGCATGGAAAGCTTTGAACTATTTGGACCAGGAGCTGCTGAGAAGCAGAGAGCTTCTGGAGCCTCGCTGGCATTAATGTGAAGAATTTCTTGTGGCTACTGCTACTAAAGAGACACTTGGCTTCTCAGACAAACTAGATCCTTTGACCAACTTGGCCACAGCTGTGGTCAGAGATTCAGTCTCAGCCTGATTCTGAGAAAAACAAATGCCTGCAACACCATTTCTACCACTACAGAGAAATTAATATGATCCCACAAGAAAGTTGATTTGAGATGAAAAAAATGCAGGTCACAGTAGCAGCTAATTCCCAAGAGGGACAGGCACAAACTTCTTTAATGTGGATATTGAAGGGGACATATTTTGTTTCTATTATTACTTGATTATGGGAGACTAAAGGGAAATTTTTTCACAACCAAAGAAGTATTTGAAAAAAGTTTTTAAAACATGAAAATTAAAACAAAAAATTAGGAAGGATATTGAAATGAAGCATCTGTGTAAAACTTTTTCTTCCTTCTTTTTGATCAGTTCTGATTGTTCTAATTGATGTCCAAGGAGAAAGCTGGAAATAATTTAGAGATGAAGAAGAAAGGAATGGCACTGCCATTTAGAGATGAAGAAGAAAGGTAAGCCCTGCCTATGGGACAGCAACCCTGGGACACACCAAAAATGCTTGAATAAAGAAGGTGCCATGAACCAATATTTATCTCCTGCTTACCCTAACAGCTATTTCCTTACCCTCAAATTTTTAGGAATGAAAAGCTATAAGGATCACTAGTTTCACTAGGACTTTTCCTTTATATATCACTGCTCACTCAAGACTTTGAGCCCATTACACAAATTGCAGTGACGTGCTTGGCAGGAGCCCTTTGAAGCACATACTGCCATTCCTGCCAGCTTGGTTTCCCCAGCAGAAGAGCAGTGGTTGAGGGAGATGAAGGGATGGAACCTGCAATGCTGGGATACCCTGTGCTGGTTTAAAGGTAAACCGGCAGGGGAAATGAACCCAACTCAAAAGAGAGATTATAAGTCAGAATAACAATTAATAAAATAATACAATAAGTATGATTATACAGACAAGCAATTGGTTTTAACCCACAAAACCCAAATGTATAACCCAGCACCCTGAGGCATGAACAGAGTGGTGTTCATTGGGCCCCCTGAGTCTAAAGTAAAGGGAGAGGGGGAAAATCTGTTGGTGAGAGTGCTGTTGCAGTCTGGTCAAGAGTGGTGATTGCAGTCCGGTCGAGGGTGGTGGTTGTAGTCTGGTTGAGAGTGGTGGTCTGCAGTCTTCCTCTGGATCCCATGAGAGGTTAAAAAAGTTCCAAGACTCCAAAATTATATATTCTTCAGTTCAGGCAGGAATGCCCAGTACTTCCCTCAGGGCGGGAAGTTCACAATGGGTGTGAGGTGTGAGGACAGGGGGCACCCTCCTATCTTGCAGACCTCTTAACACCTACTTTGTAGCCTGAGGAGTCAGGCTGCTCTGGGCAGAGGGTGTAAATAGTCTATTGATAACAGTTTCTGGGAAATGGCATGGAAGGCTATAGAATACACAGTTTTGGTTACACCCATACAATGATGAACTGGTCCCAGCTGTTCTAACTAGGACATGCCCTCACTTTCCTCACCCTCCCAAGTTGCTCGTTCCTCCCTTGCTTTGCCCCCCCCAGGTTTCTGGCGTCACAGCCCACCCGAGGCCAGGCTCTGTAGGGATGACAGCTCATTGCCAGATGCTGTGGTGCACTAGGCAAACAGGGAGTGGGCACCCAGCAGCCAGTGACCAGCAAGCCAAGGATCCTATCCCTTGATTGCTGAGGGCTGCTCCATAATGCCAGTAGATTTGCAGAGAACAAGCAGAGCTGGAGTCAGGTTACACTGACTCCCAAGGACCAGGCAGCAGCTTCCCATGGAAAATACATGCCCACGTAAATAAAGAGGGAAATAATTATAAGGGAGTAATTAACTGAGCAGAAGTATAAATGGAAAGCAAAAGCAGAGCTGAAAGACAGAAGAAAAGAAAAGCGTTTGAGCTTTTTTGTAGATGCAGAGGCTTGCATTTTGCATTTAAAGAAATAGAGGAAGAAATTTAAATATGTATTTAGGAAAAAAATTCCAATGGGAAATGTGAAAATAACCAGAAGCTTTTGCGAGGCAGCCTCTGAAGAGACAAAGCTATAAATGCAGAAATCCAAATATCAACCTTTGCTTCTTAAACAATAAAAAAAACAAGTAATTTGTTCATTATAGAGTGCAAGTAAACTTCTGAGAAAGCACCTGATGACAGTGCTGGGAATTCCTTACCCTGTCACTTTTGCTCCTGTCACTGGGCAGTATGAGGTAGTTATTAGAAGTGTTATTTATTCCAAGAAACATTGTGTTCCTTTTTTTCTCACCACTACCTCGCTTATAGTCAGGTGTATTTGTTGAAACATGCTCAAAGCCCTGAGTTGCACTAACATCAGTATCCCAGCGTCATCCATTCAGCTGGTCAGTGGAAAGATGAAAGACTCCTATCCAGTGAGAGACCCTTCCTTCCCATAGAATCATGGAAGGGTTTGTGTTGGAAGGGACCTTTAAACATTATCTAGTTCAATCACCCTGCCACAGACATCTAGATCAGGTCACTTCATCTAGATCAGGTCACTCAGAGCCTTATCCAACCTGACCTTGAATGTTTCCATGGATGGGGCCTTTGTCACCTCTCTGGGCAACCTGTGCCAGTGTTTCATCACCTTCATCATAAAAAATTGCCTGTGTATATCAAGTCTGAATCTACACTCCTTTAGTTTAAAACCATTACCCCTTGTCCTGTTGCTACTGTCCCTACTAAAAAGTCTGTCCCCATCATTCTTATAAGCCCCCATCAGGTACTTGAAGGCCACTATTAGGTCTCCCAGGGGCCTTTTCTTCTCCTGTTGAACAACCCAAATTCTCTCAGCTTTTCCTCACAAGTGAGGTGCTCCAGACCTCTAATTGTCCTCCTCTGAACCTGTTCCAACAGGTCAATGTCCTTCCTGTGCTGGGGACCCCAGAGCTAGATGTAGCCTTCCGGGTGGGCTCTCACCAGAGCAGAGAAGATGGGCAGAATCACCTCCTTTGACATGCTGGCCACACTGCTTTTGATGCAGCCCAGCATACAGTTGGTTTTCTAGGCTGTAAGCACATATTGCTATCTCTTCATTCTTCTCATTAAGGAAAAACTGACAAAAAGGGTAAGTCTTATGGCACATGCAGAAAACCAGCAGCTGCCAATGACAAATCTCCCTTGGACGGATACAGATGATGGTTCTTAGTCCCTTCCTAGAGGGATGTCCTGCCCCGTTAAACAAGCTGGTGGTGAGTGAACCTGGGGCAAGCACTAAGTAGAAAATGGCTTATCAGGGAAGCAGGATCTCACTTATAGAGCTCCTGACTGAAAACCTAATCTTTAACTTTCTTGCAAAAGCCTAGGTGGGAAACAAGCCTAAATACGCTTTGTTTGCTCAACGACACAAGGTACCTTCTGTACTCTGGTCTCTCATGTTTCAGGATGAAAGACAATTCAGCAGGCAATTTGTCACCAAATTAAAGTCACCGCTATAAAAATCATTCTGGATCCAAAAGAGAGGAATAAATTTGATTGTACTTGTAGAAATGTATTTGGGGCAATGTTAAAGAGCCTGGACCAGCTGCTTCTTGCTTAGCTCTTATGTAGGCAACACCTGCATGGATTGCAGTTGTGGGTGGCTGAGTGAGGGCCGGCTGTGCCATGAACTGAGATGGAGATGGAGGGGCTGGTGCTTGGAGACCACACTATGTTCCTCTGCCTGGCATACTCCAGAGTCCCCAGAGACAGGAATGTCAGGTATGTGCTGCCTGTTTTCTCCAGCCTGGTTAGGAGATAATGGGAGTGACACTGTAGGGAAAAGATGCAGGCAATATGATTTAAAAAAAAAAAAAGGAAATAAGGTAAAAACTCCTCCATGATTTTGTGGGTCTTTGAGCATGCTGGGTGGTGGGGCTGGAAGTGGGGGAGCACAGAACACAGACAGACTGTATTAATTTGATAAACTAGAATGACTAGTGTATTTTGACACTCCATCACTGTGACTAGCTTTTGGTGAGACAGGGTCTTTGGCCAATGCTGTTTCTAAGGAGGATTTCTCTGTCCTTATGCTTACCCTGCCTACCAGCCACATGAGAGCTGTGCTGTTTAACCCTCCTTCCCCTCATTTGTATTCCCCATTCCCACACAACCCATCGGCAGTGTAGCATTACTCCCCTCCCCCAAACTTTCCCTCTTTCAGTTGGTGTCACCACAAAGGAATAGATTATTACTGACACTGATTCCAATTTAATCCTCCCAATAATCTGATTTTTCCAAGCCTATTTATATCCTTGAAATGACAGTAAGGTTTAAAGTGATACAAATATCTGAGCCTAAGCGCTGGTACTATCCACACCAGTCTGTTCCAGTTTTGACCCTCCAGAATAAAGTGTAACCCCAGATATTATTTGATAAATCCCTTCCCAAATGTTTGTAGAATTAGACTGGTCCTTGGTTACTCTTTTTGACTAGCTTTTTCACATTACAGGTTTACTCTCCATTACACTGGCAATAAGCTGAAGTCCCAAAATAAGTTTTAAAGCTCATATAAATGTAGAATTTCTTTTCCCTTTGTGGATTTTAATAACTTTCTGGTGTCTGGAAATGATCAAGAAGTAAAGCTTTCATAGCAATGTAAGAAGTATAAACCCACTCTAGTTTGTTATTTCATCCAGCAACTTGAGAACTTTTTTTATTTTCCTGGGCTTTAAGGTGATCAGCCAATGTTTTCTCCCATCCCTATTCTCCTTAAGAAGCTTATTAATGTTTTACATTCAAAATAAAGACAAACCAATCTGAAAACAAAGCCATACTTAGGGCTGCACATTGTAAATGTGCTTGCTGGACTATTTCCACTATTTGTAACCAATTCATTTTAATATTGCTCCTACTTCTTGCTAGATCTGCAGAACTTCAGCTCACACATAGCCCAGGAGTAGTTCAACCAGAAGTCAGCAGGTTTTTGTTCTTTTTTCCCCCCACTCTTATAATTCAATGCACTGACTTGTTTATATAACTGGATCCTTTTGTTTCTCCAAAAGGGACTTGGCTATTTCACTGAGCGACAACACCCGTGGTAGGTGATGGTCTGTTTTTTCCAAAGCAAAGACTTCAGTTTTCAGCAGAATTTACATTCCAGTAATAAATATTTAAAGGAATTATAATGGAACTGAAGTAAAGAATGTCTCTCTGAAACACACACACACGTGTATACACACACACACAGACAAACACACTCACAGTCAATTAGTCTGGGGTTGCTCTGATGCAGATGGTGCCTCTGTTCAACTCCTGAAGTAGTTTGCTTTTCCCATTAGAAAACTTGGCCACTTCGGATTTTTAATACCCCATAAAAAGCTTATAAAATGTTATTCTTTATTGTCTATGTAGCAGATCATTCAAACATCTATGTCAAAGGCATTTTCTGCAGCAGGGTCTCTTTCTGCCCCTCAAATAAATGTAAGAAAGAATGCAATCTGTGCTGATTTCTTGCTGTCCTTTCTCAGGTATGAGCTTTAGGATTTTCAATCATCTCTATTTTATTTTGCAACAGACTAAAATAAATGACACCAGAATGGCAGTTTTGGAACATAACAGGACTACACAACTACCTTTTGGCTTCAAATGTGTAGTCTACTATAAAGCAAATAAGACACTGATGTACTTTTCTATTTACAAAGCTTGTATTTGTCCCTGTGGGCATAACACCAGGTGATGTCTTACTTAATGATGGTGAAGATTGTATATATGACATAAACAAAAGAGCTGCTTTTTAAAAATACTAAAAAAAAAAAAAAAGAAGAAAATATTCCAGCTCTTTTGAGGAAGTAGAATGAATTGACTACAAAAAACAGAATGAAAACCAAAAGGTGAAAGCAGGAAGAATGTGGCATAAATATTGGAGTTACCTACAAATGTCTCTCTCTGCAAACAAGACAGTATTTATTCTGTACAGTTTTATCCTTATCTTTTCATTTGCACTGAATGGTGCCCACAGTAGTAGCACTACAGCTGGCTGAGTATAATGCCCACTGATTGCTGCCCACCCAGGAGGTATCAGAGCCTCCTTGTCCCTTCTCATGCCCTGGACTGCCTCATTCCATGAACAGCTTCACCATGAGGAGGCCTGTTACCCGTGGCGGAGTTAAAGGGCTGTAAGGCAAGAGGTTGTGAGGGGGAGGGTTACATTTGGGTTTTTTTCATTCCTGTGTCTGGGGCTAAGCAGCAAAATAGTACTTCTTCTCCATTTCCACTCTATCTCTGTTTTTTCACCTTTGAAATCTGGTTATTCTTAGCTCACTAGGTTTGATTTGCTGACCTGACATGAACATATCCATCTTTCATGTTGATCCTGGCTTAAACTCAGCAGAAACAGAAATAAGAGTGGAAAATAACCCGTCTGACAGCTAGAGACAATGATACTGAACCAGTTTAGGAGAAATGGAGGGTGGTCACAGGTATGTGTAAGGTCTCTGTCAGCTCAAGGTAGTCCACAGCTAGAGAACAAAAGGATGAGTGTCTGTGGACATGAGTGCATGGACATGCACACACCAGTGGAGAAGCAGGGATAGATGCTTTTATAGTCATCAGCCCTTATTGGTGGATTCAGCTTTCTGCAGGCATCGGTGCAGGGAGGCAGCCCTGGAAGAAGTTTACCTTCATCGAGAGACACCTTTGGAATGGATCAGCTGGCCAGGAGGGGGAATGAGAAAGACCTCCTGCAGGAAAGGGGAGATCCATGTAGGGTAGAAGAAGCTCCTCCTAGGAGAGGGGCAGGCAGGGATGGAGGCAGGAGGGCCTCCCACTTCTACAGCACACTCTTCCCATGCCAGCCCTGCTCCATCTGCTGGCAAGAACAATGTGGAGCCTCTGCCGTTTGCCCGCTGGGATCCAGCCCCTCCTGTCCTCCCCCTCGGCCCAGATTCCATCCATGTCTTCATTTCATCTGCCACAAGTGGCAAGGGTGAGAAGAGCAGAGCCTTGCCCAGGCACAGGAGGGACAACAACCCTTACTCTTGGATCCTAGGACAAGGAACTGCTCTCCCATGAACTTCCCTCTCCTTTAGCCTCTAACATCTTGTCAAAGTTACAAATGAAGTATTGTCCACACTGGGTATTCACCATCTGATCACTGCTCACCTGTGGTCAGTCAAACCCCAGTGTTAATACCCTGCAAATCTGCTGAGGCTGCATGGCAGACTGGGATACTGCTGGGGACAGAGTGAGATGGCAGCATCAGCTCCTGCCTCAGCAAGTGCCCAGGAAAGCACGGTGCAGCTATGAAAGGTGTTCAGGGAAAACACCTCTGCTTTGCTGCTCAACAGTTTGCAAGGTTATTGTTTTGGCTCTGCCTCCATTTTTCCCTTGCCTACTAGGTGTTTAAGGGAATGTGCTGAGGAAAGCTCTGGCTTTTTCAAAATATGGAAGCAATATGGAAAGCTTTTGCTATGTATGAGCCTGCATGGCATTGCAAACTTGACTCGCTCTTCTCTGCACGAGGAGTTGCAGGCTGGTCGCAGCTCCCCTGTGAAAGGCAGTGGGATTTTTTAGCTCTGGCACCATTGGCTTTAAATGTTTTTTCCTCTTGTCCTACCTTCTGCTATTGGGAAATCATCTGCACCTGGATTTTGCTTCTCTTTTCCATGTGGGAAAAGAAGCATGTTCATCCTGCTGTGGCTCTTACATATGGCAACTCTTTCAGCTCTGAGTTACAGGCAGTCAGGCGAATGGGGTGGGCTGAGGTTCCTCAGGTCATCCAGCCCCTGAGGGAGGGAAGGAAGGCAGCCAGCATCAGACCAGTGTTTACAGAAAGTTTAGTCTCCAGTGGATTTCCCTACTCCAACAAAACAATAGGAGGGGCTTGTGCTATATTATCCACGCTTCCTCTTTATTCTGATATTATCTGTGAATTCTTGCAAATAATAGATGACTGAGACCATTTTTGTTCTGGGAAATAGGAAGATGAAAACATTAGACAGACCTTAGCAGTTTCAATAGACTTATTCATGGTGTATGTAGTTATGCAAGTCAGGAACTAGCAAAATACCTGTTGGAATAAGTAATAATCACAAAAGCAGTTCTCTTACATCTCCTTTTCAGTAAGAGATATTGTCTCGGTCAAAACAAAAGAAGAGTTCAAAACAAAACAAAAGTTCAAAACAAAAAAAGAAAGCAAGCATAACGCCACTCTTAATGCCACAAGATCTTGGGAAGCAATCCATTCCAGCTCTTCTATGTGTCTGCTTAAATACAGGTGTTCTGATGTTCTGATATAAATTGCATGCTGGTGATTAATAGATCTTCTATCACTTGGACTTGAACTGAAGTCAAAGGAACATACTCTTCCCCCCATCTTCTTTTTCTTTTCTAAACCTGCATTAAAATAGATTATTCAGAAATCTTGGAATGAAAAGTGCTAGGTCAAAACTCACATTTTTCTAGCAAGTCTATGAAAACTTACTTTAAAAAGCCACATACTGTAGAATCTCAATTATCCTGGAAGGCTTATCCGGGTTATGGCTTAAGTATGCTGTTCATGTGCTTGTTCTAGAAGTACAAGATGAGCTGTAGTGCTCTGCAAAGCAGCTAAACCCTTCCCTGGGCCAAATGGAGTCCAGAAGCCATTCAATGGATTGACTTGGGCGCAGGACTCCTGCAGCTTCCCTTCAGTCTCGTGCAGAGCTGGGCTGTGTCTCAGAGCTAGAAGCCACAGAGCAGTGGTTCCTCTGCAATTCTGGCAGGACTCCGTGTCTGCCTCTGTGTCACGTCGTCCTCATCTGGGAAGTCTTCTTGCATTGTCATGCAACTGCACAGAGACGGCTGTGGTGTGGTGCTGCATAGAAGCTTTATGGGTACCACCTGTCTCCACATTGAAACCTTCTGCATCACTCATGCATTATTATCTCCTATTATCTAGGACCTCCTTTCGTTCTCCTCCTCCTCTTCACCCCAAGTAAAGAGGGCCTGTTGGTGTATCCATGGGCTTAATACCTAGTGGTCTTGGAAGAACTTCTCTGGCTCGTTGCACATTAACATTGTTGACATTTTTTATGCATATGCAATTAATAAAAATTGGGAAAAACTTTAAAGCTTTGGCTATACTCTGGACAGATTATGAATTTTATGTTCTCTGTGAAGTATTGTTAATACTTGCTACCCACAAGGGCTAATTACTAAGAGCAGATTTTACTCTGAAAGGAGGGCTTTCTCTCCTTTGCACAGCCTTCCTCTCCAGGTTAGAAAAACAAACATTCCCAGTTAGGCAAATAGGGCCATGCTCCCAAAGGGGTTTTTTGTCAGTCTTGTGGCATTTAGTGTTCCTATTGATCTCCCAAATTCAGGACAGCAGTGACTGTGTGAGAAACTTCCTATCTAGTTTTCCAAAGAAATGCACAGCTTTTGGGAACAGGTGCCTAAATAAAGGCTCAAACACAAGGTAAAAACAGAACGTGCAGTTTAGGCTCACCTTGCGTAAGTCCCTCAATTTGGGTGAAGGTAGCTTTTGAACTGAAAGCCTGAATGGGGCAAACTAATTCAGAATAAAGCACTGTTAGTGTGAAATACATGTCCAGCACAGGGAAGGGGAATTCTGCAAGTGGAGGTACTCTGCAGCAACTCCCAATGTGGATAAGCCCTTAATTACTTTTAAAATCTCACCATTACTAAGCCGTGCTTATAATTTCTAGAGGCCTCGAGTTTCTGGAACAACTGGAGTATGAGATTCAATTGCATTCACTTCAGTGGAGGATACAGTTAAGTATCAGCACGTTTTTCGGCTTGAGGCCAGTCATTAACTAATTAGTGTGTGGGAACATTTAAGTTTTTCCCATCTGATTTTGCAAAGTTGTTTGGCAATACTTGCTTATGAGCTTTTTTCCCCTCACTTTTTCCCCTCTCCCTTCACAGCAAAGCAAACCGCCACCAGAAGCAAAAAGAGAATTGGAAGTACAGTAACTTCCCATTTTTCCCTTACTGTAGTAAAAAATATTTGCTGAGTTTTGCTATTTTTTTTTAATGCACACATATATATATAAAACACACACATATATATATATAGCTTTTAAAAAAAATATTTAAAAGGTTTCAGAGTGTTAGTTTCCTTTGCGGCCACGCAAAGCCTCCCTTCCCAGCAAGAGCGTGTCGGTGGGAGCGCGAGCGGGGCAGCACTGGAACTACAACCCCCAGAGGGCGTGTCGGGGGGCAGCCGAGGAGAAGCAGGGCAGACAGGCGCGTGGCCTCCTGGGAGTTGTAGTTCCTCGGCCCTGCCTGGCCCCTGTCCAAGCACCTCTCTGTCCCGTGGGAGGCAGCTCTGACTCCGCGCCCCACCGCTCCCCTCGGGCTGTTGCAGGGCAGCTCCCTGCTGGCAGCCCAACCAGGAACCGCTGGAGGAGGCATGGGAGACCTGTAAAGGTAAGGATCTCCTAGTACTTGCCGTGGAGTAGGTGGAGGAGCGGTGGCGTAAATCCTGTTGTCCCCTCCAGTCCTCCTCGCGCCGTGCTTTTGGCTGTGAGGTGTTGCCATGTCGTTCCCGTGGCACATTTGTTGGGCGAAGTCATCGGGGCTTGGGTTGGCTGGCAGAACTGTCAGCGCGTGGGACCGGCTGTGTGGAGATGTCATTCTCCCCTGCAGCCATGCAGAAGTGTGGCTGTTGGCTCCTTTAGACAAAGGTTAGTGGGATAAATTAATCATTCAATCATAGAAAAAGTGGAGGTGGAAATCCCACTCCCTGCAGGAAGTGGAATCTTTCTCTAGTGAATAACATCCAGGTTTTTGCTGAATTTAAACTTGCTTTTTAAGTATTTTTTTTCTCTTAAGTTGACTTTCTTGGTCTTAGTAGAGAGAATTAGCCAAATACAAATTTGCATAAGTGGCTGCAATCGTCTCTGCCTGTGTACATTTCCTTCTTTCAGTGTATCTGCTGTTTGCTAAACTGGAGGCAACTGAAAGTCTCAGGCTGTTCAGATCACTACAGTGAAAATCCTTGGAAATGCTACCATTTCATCCTGCTGCTTAATAAAACAGAGCAGTGGTCAACATAGCACAAGGAGGAGAAATGGCTTTGTGTGCTTCATGGGCCAGGTAAAACACTCCTGAACATTTCGGCTGTGATCCTCTGGCAAGCAGGTACCTGGGAAACTATTCTAGCCTTGCTATTAGTCCTTACACCTGAATGTAAATTTGCCAGAGAGTTTTGGGAAATACCTTGCAAAAGGATGCTCTGCACACCTGCCATGGCTGAATGCACATGCATAGAGGCTTGGTTCAATGACACAGTTATACCCTAATGGTCCTTTCCTACGAATAATTTACTAATTATTCTGAAGACCACACATTTTTGCAAAACAGTAATTTGCATTACTTATGGTCAGGGCCACTGGTTCTCAGCTACTGCTTCTGGGGTGAAACAGCAAGCAGTAGGCAGGCTGAAAACTGTGGGAGCAGAATGGGAGTTTTTAGTTAAGGCTACCGATGCAAGACCCTATTTAAACAAAAAAGGTGAAAGTGAAGACAGGAGTTAGTCCTAGTAAAAGGTCTCACGTAAGAGAAGATGTGAAAGGCGGTTCTCAGTTCTGCTGGGAATTGCATTTTAATGGCAGTAAAGTAGCTTTGCTGTTGATCTCCGCAGATGTTGCCAAATGCTGAAATGAACAGGTCTGGACAATGAAGCAGTTTGCTTCCTGTTCAGAGGCTTGGCAGCTCTGGATCAATGTGGAGATATGGCTTTTGGGTGTGTTGGGTTTGTGCATCCTGGGCAGCAGGAGCGCTGTCGTACGGAAAGGCAGAAAGCAGAAAGCTAATGAGCCGGTGTCCTCCATGAATCAGGCATGCAGAAATGTTAAACACAGTGCCCTCTGATCTAAAATGAGGATGCTATAGCTAATGGTAGAGGTGTTGGTAAGAAGCGCTAAACTTTCTACCAACTAGTCCATTACCTTAAAAATCCCAACAGCTGTAATGGGGAGGGCCCATGGGCTGCTTTCCATGGGAAGTTTTTCATATACCTCATAGACCTACGGTGTATTTGATGTTCTTGCTGTTTACAGTATTAGTGGCACTGCTAGTACGTTTGCAATAGAAACTAACTAATGGAGGCATCTGAATCTGAAAGCGTTCCCTACATATTCAAGAACTTTCTCAAATGTGAACAGCACTAATATAAAAAACAGGGATCATACCTGGCATGCAGCCTTGGTGAACTTTGAATGTTTCTCTGTACACTGACAGTACCTATGGCAACTTAAGCCAGGGTATGAGAACCTCTGCAAGACTGTCTCCAGAGAGGCATGAAACCACTGAAAACCTTGAGACAGGGCAAGGGCTGGAGGAGGAGGATGGTGGTGGTGGCAATAAGCATCATGCAGGCAGCAACAACAGGTGGTGGGTGCCTCTCTTCCCTCCCTTCTAGTGGTGAAGGCTGTGCCAGCAAAACACATGGACCTCCCTACTCTACCTTCCTCCATCGGCCAGCCAGGCTGCAATGTTTAAAACAGGCATGGATTTTCCTGTTTACCCGTCAGCATACCTCCCAAATGGCAATTGTGTCGGTTTTGTTTTCCTTTCCTCATACATACCAGAAATCAAACAGCGTGATATGGCTAATGGGATTATATTGACCCACCTCTGCCATTGCTATTAATAGCTGAAGAAATTCCCAATTGCCTCAGCCCCAGTCATAGTACAGTTGCCTGCCCATCTTTCTCTTGCCAAACAGAGCGGGGTCTTTTTACGTTAGCAAGTCCAGTAATTGCTGGTTGAAATGTTGCTTCTTGGTAGTGTTAAGAAGCTAGGGACCAGATTATATATAGAAGAGAATATATAGAAAATATCCATTTATGACTGGATAGCAGGTTGCTTTGCAATGTCATCTGAACAGTATCCAAATAGCCAATTTCTTTTTAAAAAAACAAAGGGGGCTAGGGAGGGCTCGTGCCTTTTTCTTGCTGACCGTAGAAACATAACTCACCCTTTTTAAAAAGGTGCATTCAGAATCCAACCCTGGTGCACAGGCTACTAAATTTCAGTTGCTGGTTTTGTCATTATTGCAATTGCAGTAACTCTGTAAGAGACAAGATGAAAGGTTGCTCTTTCCACTTTGAGCTCTTTCCATCCTCCACTTTTACAGCAAAGGTTATCCTAAGCGGTGTGTACATCTGTCTGTTGTAACTGTAGAAATACCTATTATTCATAACTTGCCAATGTATATGCTGGAAAAGAGAAGCTGAATTTATAACTATATTTCCTCTCTGCCAGGGCTTTTAGAGTTGAGTGTTTCAGCATTTCCATTATGAACTCCTGTTTTCTGAGGTTTATAACAGTCTTGAAGAGCGTAGTGGTCTTGAACCATAATAGAAAGCATGAAATGTTGCATTTACAGTACAGTTGTAACTGCACATTAAGGAGTGTAATCTTCTCAGTGTACCCACAATGCTCCAATAAGGTTAATTGGAGCTACATATACTAAGAGAAAAACAATATTTTACCCTTGGACTTGGTGCTCTCTATTCAGAGAGCTGAGTGCATCACACAAGAACAGAGTGCATCTCTCTGCACCAGACTTACAAAAACACCAATCCTTGCTACACCTTAAAATACTTGCATGCATCTGTAGGGGCCCCTCTGAACACCTGCATCCCTTGTGTGATGCCTCACTGCTTTACAGACTTGGCCAAAGGAAGCCAAGGTAAAGATGACTGAAAGAAACTGTATTTTATTGAATATATGGTGAGGCTTTTGTCCTGTGCAGTTTTTCTGCTGTTTCTCTGCCTTTGGCTTCTAGTCTTGCATAAATATAGGTCCCATCTGAAACCCATCTTGTCCGCTTTCAGTCAGCTTACTCCATCTGGCATCTTGCATTCATGTGTCACTTTACATAAGGTAAATGAAGTACAGTTCATCATAACATCCCACTGTCCCTGCGCTGTCTGAAGTAGTCCCAGCTCCTCTGTCATGCATCTGGGTAGTTGCTGGCATTTCTAGTTAGTCTGAACTGCCACAGCCAGAGCAGGGGCTCTTAAGGAGAAAGCTCCACATACAGGGAGGATACATATTTCCTTTTCACACTAGCTCAGCCACAATATAAGGCTGGGTTTATCTGCCACTTGGTATAAGGCATCAGAAGGTAGAAGGCTGGACTCTGTGAACCTTAGATCCAGATCTCAACTGCACTAGAGTTTGAGAGAGCAAGTTAGAAGGAGTGTCAGCAGGGTCGAAATCTTGTTGAGACTAAGTTTTTCTTGCTGTTTCAACTCAGACATCAGGTTATTTACTCTTCCACTTAACCTCTCCTCCTGTGGCTAGCAGGTCAGCTTATTGGGTTCGTGCCTTTTTGCAAGTATTGCTAACCTCAAGCATTGAGAAATCACAAATTTACTCTCATATTCATGAGACTTCAGGAGAAACATGCATTTTTTAAATCGAGCAATTAAAATAGTTTAATTAGTGTTTTAGCCCTGATCCTTTGAGTTTCACAGCTTTGGAGCATTTTTTTCCTTGCTTTGAGCTTGACCATCTTTGCCCCCTGTAAAACTGTATTTGTCACAATTGCACAAATGGACAACCAGTGCTTTAGCAAAAACCTCAACTAAACCAAGAACTTGCAGAAATAACCTGAAATTTGGAAATTCCTGGTTTTGCGATTGTGTAAGTTTCGTTTTCACTTTTTCTTTTTTTCTGTCCCGTCATCAGTTATGCATGTCTGTGTTACAACATATCTGCTGAGAATGAGAGAGCTGAAGGGATTTCTGATTTGGTGAATCAGTGTACAAGTGGTCAGCAGAAAGGACTGCAGCAAAAAAACCCGATGAATGAGAAAGCACAAAAGGCTGAACTAGAGCAAAGCCACCCGTATATTGCATGTGCTCTTCTGCTGCATATAAGGGGGCTGCAATTTGCATGTTAGTTGTCTGTGATCCCTTTCATATGGGTAAGAAGGCCTTTGGGAAAACTTGGCATGATCTACCAAGAATTATTCATCATGTGATGCATACATTTAGGCAGCGAATACCCGCTTGATAGGGGCGTGACTGAAAATAAGGCTTTTCAATGTACTTTATATTGTCCCTGCATTTGCTCTATAGTCTGAAGGTGCTGTGTGTTTTCCTGCTTTGTGTGTTCTAGTCCCCCATATATTTTGTGTTCTTACTGCCTTCTGAAAATATTTGTCATGATTGTTCACAGTGCAGTTATTGTTGGTTTGAAATGCTTATCACAGGGAACATTTTCAAAGGCAAGAGAGGCAACAGAGCAACAACTTCCCCTGGCTGTGTACAGGAGTCAGAGCAGCATTACCAAACCCTGTAGCTGGTGTTCTCCACGAGAGCTTCCCGTGTCCTGTGAAGGGACGTTTCTGCATCCTAAAAGAGTGGCTCTGTGGATGCCACTAAAGAATTGCTGAAGAACTGGGACTGTTCTTTGACTACTTTGAGCTGCCAGGTTTAGTTTCTTTGCAGTCAGGTTGCCTTTCTACATCTGGATGTAAACTAATAGCCTCTGGGCTTCTTGAGGTATGAGAACCATTGCTGTGGCAATAGTATTAGTCTAACTTGCTTGATCGTGACCTTTCTTTTTCCTTTGTTCCAGTTTACTGCCTCTTTTGTGCAGAGACTAGGTGGTGGTGGTACTTGATATGTAGTACCTCTTTTGGTGTTGGCATGTTTGTATCATCTAATACATTGCACAATCATTTTATCTGTCTTTTTTTCTATCTTATTCATCTCAGAGGGCCCCAAAACAAAGAGGCCTCCAAACCCTATGATTTTAGGCCATTAGAGATAAAGCATGAAGGAAGAACTGATACTGCCCCCAGTTCCCAGGTGAAACACAATTCTACCATTCTTGTTAGGCCGAAGGCCATAACCTGTGGGGACATTCTCCATTCAAATCTGTGAGGTTTCTGCTGGGAGCATGTGGTATTTGAAAAAACAGTGGTGGATCCCAGGTGAAGAATACTTTTTTACCTTTTCTGAGGTTCACGATTTTTGAGAGTTTTGGTGCCTTACCCTTTTGTCATTTTGGATTTTGACAGGGTATTGATAAATGCATTGTATTATGGAATTTGCTGTTTCGATTACCCTACTCCC